CCAACCCCCGTGGCGTATTCACATCCGCCTGTCACGTCGGGTGTCATTCGGGACGACAGCGACATGATCGCTGAATCCTCACGCGCACGGAAGAATGAGACGCCCAAACAATGAAAGCAGTTAGACGCTCGAACAGTAGAGAAACACACGCACGCGCATGCCAGTGCCACACGTGCGTCGAAGGCGCGGAAGGCTTTTCGAGGTGACCCCTTCGACCAATGATAACGGAGGCACACACGACAGACAGACAACTCACTTTTATTAAGTATACAGATTTCCGAAAATGTGCACTTGAAATGAGATATTATGGTTTTAAAAATGTTTAATTTCTCCCGGATTCCTCGTCTTACCTTTCTATTATAGATGCTATCTCTTTCCTCTAAAGAAAACTCACTTCAATTTGTGACCATATGAAAAAAGTATCTAAGCACAATAAACTGTTGCAGTTTCATGTGGACTACCTTGTCCGCTAAAACAGTATTAACGTATCTGTGGATTTTAGTTTAAATGAACAACCATACTGACTTTTTGACAATTCTCACAGATATAAACTTGTCAAAATCCACAGGCTTGAATTACCGAATTATTACTCCGCTAAAGTTTATAATGTTTTACGCAGCTTGTTCAATCGATAAAGTCGGTAGTACTCGACTGAATCATGCGCGCCAAACCGGTGTGCTCGAATGGTAAACTATCTTCCGATTCGAAGTTTTTTCCAATGCTTTGTGCAGTGCTTCTGAATTGATGCTTGTATGCTCGTCCTGCTCCCGTTCATCTACCTCTGCTCTAAAGGCAGGCTAACTCAACATGATAATTTCCATGCTGAAGCCGCCGCTCGTCATAGAAAAGGCGAATTGACTGTTTGTTCTGCTTCATTCACAAAGTTCCCATTTTAGGGTGAAGCAGAAGGATCAGCCGTTTTGGCCTAGTTTCCGCTGAATGGTAGTTATTTAGCTTTTTTTTCCATCGACACAAGAACTGCCAGGTCCTGCAAAAGCTAAAAGTGATAAATACTTTTTCACCAGTAAGTGCTTGAATGAATTTCTTACCCCGAAGTTTTTAAGGATCGGCCTGCCTGTTTTGGTACCATCGCAAAGTTGGCAATGGATTAAGTCAATTAACTGACGTTCCTTGAATTAATGTCGTATCTATATTTGTGTCGCAGTCGGACTGCTGGACACTTCAACTTACGTTTTCTAGACCAGTCAGCTTCTGAGTTCTCTCTTCTGAGTTTTAAAGCTAAAAAAATTTGGTTTATATCTTATTGACCGGAACGTACGCGTACTTGCAAGGTTCTTGATTTACGCGGGTTCCAACAACACCTTTTGGACACGTCTTCTACTTCACTTGCCTATTATCACCACTGTATTAATGCATTTTGTACTATTTTTACCGTGCGCTGTTCTTATCGTCTTTCTAGAGCACGAATAATGACCGACGACTTTGATCGCTGCTTCAAGGCAGTCAAGGTAACCTACCCATGCCTTCTTGCCTCATCTTCTCTCTGCAGAACCTGCTAAATGATTCAGGTGGACTCACGCTAGCGAAACTCAAGTCCATGTCCGAATCTCTCGGCATTAAGTAATTATCTACCAGTATTTATAATCATTTCTTCAAGAGATAAAAAGTCGGTTATTGACTTGGCATTTCGGGATAAAATGCTAGGTCTTTTGTCCATCAATTCAACAGACAGCATGAAGGTGCTACTGAAGATGAGTGTGGCAGCTGCCGTCGCTGACATCTGCTCCGCAGCTACTCCTTTTCTCCTATTTGCAGACCTCTTTAATACCAAACCCATATCAGATGCAGAGGAGAACTTTCACTTTATGGAACAGACTATCACGGCTCTGAAAGATGTTTGTACACTTGTCGTTCCTCCCTTCTAACCTGTCCCGAACCTTTCAGGTCTCCCTGTTCGGCCCCGGACGAAATGTTCTGCTTAGAATGTGCAACGGTTAGGCAATTTTTCTTCATTCTTATTCCGCTTCTCTCCTCTAGACCTTCTTCGTCGGTTGTCAAAGTCACAGAATACCGTATTTTGCGGCCGAATTCAGCTCTTTCTGACGCGACTCTTCCCTCTTGACGAGAAGTCTGGTCTAAATCTAATGAGCAACTTCAACACACAAAAGGAGATCTCCTACAGCAAGGAGCCTGATGAAAGCTTGTTCCAGTCCCTTGTAAATTATAAGGCCGAGTCGAGCGAAGACACTGTCAAGCCCCTCAGCGACTTGAAAGTTAATGCTCAGCTCTACCAAAAGTTCTGGTCCCTGCAGGAGTTTCTGCGGACGCCAAATCTGTGTTACACTAAGGAGGGTTGGACGGGCTTCACGGATTGTGCCCAATGTGTCATTGACACGTTTTCTAGCATTAAAATAATGAATGCAGTGGATTCTGAGCGTCGATGGCATTCGAGTGGAACTAAATTCACAATTTATCTGACCAGTGAAAAGGTAGTTTTTTTTTTCGCGTATAGTATCGCTTGATATATTTACTTGCAGTCAAGCAGGCGGGTTACCAGTTAACAGTTTCCGTATTGAATCTTTCCAAACTCTCATCTTTTTTAATTAACTGAGAGGAGCCCCACTACTCTTATTCGTAGTCAGTCCTTCCGTAAATAATTAACTATACTATAAACTTTAGAATGCAAACAAACGTCTATAAAACTGGCTGCCTATCAATCGGTTTTATGCTCTTGCCAATTAGGGCTTCAGATAATACTTGAATGAAACACTCCTTATCTGTTTGGCAATCGGGCCAGCACTGTGAACGCACTCCTATGTAACTTCGAAAATTTCCGATCGCAGCCAAAAATGTTGTCAGCTTAAGTTTTGGCTACTGGGTCCCAAGCTCAATTCCCAAAGGAACTCCAGTTCAAACCCGAGTTATGCATGGCTATTGTTTGAGTACGACTGGGTAACAACCGAAAATGAACCCCCCTAGTTTCTCTCTGCTTCCTCTACTAGCTACCGAGGTTGGACCTGTGCAACGACATCGCTGCACTACATTTGCTGTTTGTGATTGGATGCTTCCATTATCTCTAGTCTGTCGCAAATTATTTTTTTGCCATTTAATCAGTACGCTATTTCAGGTTTCTGTAATAATCGGCATATATTTATTATACAACCTGCTCCTTTCCGAATGATAAGTCTAGACCCTATAGTTTTTATTTTAGTTTTAATGCCATGGAGTCTAACCTCGGATTATTGTATCTATTTAAGCTCCTGGACCTCCAACTAATGGACACCAACTTCAGACGATACATCCTTGTTCAGCTGCTTATCATATTTCAGTATCTGGCGGCCCAAGTTAAATTTAAGAGGTAATTTTCCACACATCTTCACCTTTCCATTTTGATGCTATTTGTAGTCCTACAAAATATTTTAAAGGCAAGTAATTTTGTAGTATAGAAGATGAAGGCACGTGTTTATTCTACAAATTTCGCTTTCTTTTGTTTACCAGTGCCACACAAGCACTAGACGAAGTTCAGGCGAAGTGGGTCAAGTCACGACGTGAAGAAATTGTCAAACTCCTCGACGGGGCTTTAGATTCTGAGCTAGCCGCTGGAACGCCCATTTCGCCATCTTTTGCAGTTGTCAATCATATCCTTGAACGTGAGACTCATTGGAATCGTTGGAAGAATGAGGGTTGTCCGTCTTTCATTCGAACTCTGGAGAAGTCGTCATTACCCTCCCGGTAGGCTCAATTC